GCCGCGCCCTCCGCCGTCAACTGCTCTGAGCGCCTGCTGAGGCCGAGGGAGACGTCGGGGCCTGCACCTGGAGGGAGCCTGCCGCGCTGGCCCCGAGGAGGGGGCGTTGCCATGGCGACAGCCTCTCCCGCTGCTGACGGGGGGCGGGGGCGGCCCTGGGAAGGAGGGCTGGTTTCCTGGCCCCCTGCCCCTCCTCTTACGCTTCCCTGGACTTGGATGGGCCCGAGTTGGGGGCAACACCCCGGGGTGGGTGATGCTGAGAGCCCCTCTATCTCCGAGATTGGGCCCTGGTTAATGCATGCGGGTTGAGGGTCGCGGCGCACAGTTTTTACAGTGTGGGGTGCTGGCTCATGTGCTCACCCTGCATGCATGATATACTGAATAGCGTCCTAGAGGAGGGGGAGTGGGGCCGGGCTTTGCAAGACCGACTCGGTGAGTTGATGAAGGAGATGGATTTCTTACCTGGAATTACTAGAGGAGAGGAGAGGACCAGAGTCTAGAACTATAGCAAGGAGATAGTACAATAGAGGACCCCTCTTCTCTCTCTCTCTCTCGCTCTCGCTCGCCTTCTCTCTCTCTCTCTCTCTCTCTCTCTCACACACACACACACACACACACACACATGGTTAGCAGTTTACCTCTGTAAAACTGAAGTGGTTGTAGTAGTGATAGTGGAAGGAGTGAATAAGGGGCCTAACCTGGCTAACTTTTCTGATTGCCTTTCCTGCAAAAGGACCAGCAACAGGTGTTTTCTTAAAAAAACAAAACAAAACAAAAAACCCCATGAACCTCGGTTGAGGCTTGATTGCAAAAGATATTCTTGCAAAGTATTACTGCTCCTTGTTGAATTGGAAGATGCTGGATGTGGGGCCCCTTATTGGGGTGTGGATTTGTCTTCAGGGCTGGATTTTGCGACCGAAAATTTAGTGCCCTTCATTGCCTGTTCTAGAGGTGTCTGGCCATTTTAATGGCATTTACTCTTGTCAGACATTTCATCAGTCGGCTAGCTGAAGGGCAGCAAAACATGAATCCCATTGGCTAAAAATTATACTCTGGTTGAACTATAGTAGGTTGTGATTGGCTGAATGATTTTTGATTTCTACCAGAAATTGGCTTCATCAAATTCTGCTTTATTCTGACTTTATCATACACAGCATGCCTTGTTTTAGTGGGTTCGTGCTTGGAGCCTAAGTATATTATACCTGAATCCCAAACCATTTAAAAGCCGATTTATACACAGGGACTTGGAGTGTGACTCCACTAATGGGTGTCTGTGATCTTGGTTAGAAACCCACTTGGCTGCCTTTCATCAGGAGGTGGGGTGGGGGAAGGGACCTGCCGGGAAGTGATTGATAAGGTTTCCTTTATGGATTCTGTGGTGCTTCACTGGAGCTCAGAGCACTTTGGCAACTTAAGCACTCCAAATTAAAAGCTCATTAACAATTCCAGCCCAAAGATCCTGTAAATAATCAGCTAGCTAGATCATAGAGCTTAGCTAAGAGCTCTCCAAACTTGAAATTTCCAAATAAAAGTGCTTTTATTCCCTTTTGTTTTGAAAAATGTTTTCTTTGTGGTAGAGTTAAGTTGGTGAGTGGCCTTTTCTCAGGGGATTTGAGTAGAGTAAATTCTTAAATGTGTGTAAGGGTACATTGCTTCTTTGATCCTAGGTGTTTCTTTTGCTAACAGCATCACTAGCTTACACGGGCTTCTGGGCCTCTTTTAGTCCTTTGGATGAGCTGAATTAGGTGATAAATGAGATAGGTATCTTCGATATTTTTGGCTTGGGATTTAGTTACTTTGACTTTCTTAGAACTCGGGCAGACTTAGAAGTATCCTGAAAGTGCTTCTTGGTCTGTGTGTGGCTGTTTGCCATACGGCCTGTGGGTTTGTGGCAACCAGTCCCCTCCCCAGTCCTGGCGCAGCCACAGTTCCCGAGTTCTGAATATTGTCAGCTTTCCCAGCATCTCCTCCTTAACTACACTAGGATTCTGAAATTTACATAGAGCTACAACTTCATGTAACTACAACTATAGCTTTTGTCCGCCCAAGTTCAAATACTATAAACATTTTAGTGTTTCTAGGGAGGTAAACCTCCTTAGGAAGAAAAGTGTACTACTAGAAAACACGAAATCTATCATTCCAGAAACAAATATAGTACAAATAGTTCCTGAAAGCTCAGTAGAGGCACTGTCTTTCCTAATAGACAGCTGTTATCCCAAAGTTTTGAGTTGAGTTTGAGATGATAGGGATCTAATCCTTTGTATTGAAATAGACTTGTTGCAGAGATGTGTATTTATCCACAGCATTGGGGCTTTCCAGCTCTCACAGAACCTTCAGCATCTCCAGCTGCAAGTCTTGGCATCTTCGAAGTAAGAAGAGGTGAGAATCATATTGCATGGTTGAGGTTGGCTTGACTTTCTTTTGAGTACTTAGACTTGAGGGGTAGTGGGTGGGGGCTGGTATGGATTGTATATTTCTGCTGATATCTCATCTGATAAAGCAGCATATGTTCAACATATGCTATAGAGATTTACCCAAAGTCTATAGACTGGTCAGAATTGTAGGTAGGGGGTCTAGACTCTTGAATTCTGTCATGATTTCTTTATGGGCATCTCATGAGCACTTATTTTAGGTTCAGGGTGGTTGAATAGAGCCAGAATAGTCTTTTTATTTATTTCTTTTTATATTTGCTACAGGACATGTATGTTCACCAGAGAGAGAAAGAGAGAGAGAGAGAGAGAGAGTGAGAAAGCATTCCCCCAGGGGGATGACCATGTCACAATCTCTTTTCCTCTATTCTCCTCACAGGATTTTGGACACACATGCTCAGCATGATTCCCAAGCCACAGTGTCTGGGACTGGAACTGTATAGCCAGCCATGTGGTATCTAACCACCCTGACCACCACACCACAGGCCGGCCTCAGACTAGTCCTTTATTCTGAGAATTGCACATCCTAAGATGATAGGAAGAAACACATTCATTTGATTTTTGGTAATATGCTTGATCAAGGCCAAACACAACTGCTCCGCTATACTCAACTCTGTGGTTATGCAGAAAAGCAGCCATAAACAGCATGAAAATGAATGAACATAGCTCCAATAAAACTTTATTTATAAAAACAGGTGGCAGCTAGATTTGGCCCATAGACCATAGTTTGCTGACCCTTGCCCTGAATCAGAGTTAAGAAAGTGAGAAGCTGTTAAAAGGTTTTAAGAGTAGAGTGACATTAGATTAGTGCTTTGAAAAATTTGCTGTGGTTTCGGTGTGAAAGATAGATCGAAAGGGACAGACAATATTGAAGGCAAAGATACCAGTAAGGAGGCTGTGACAGCTACATGGGTAACATTTTATATTTTCCCTTTTGTGGTAGTATTTTGGCCCTTAAAAATGGAATATAACCAAATCTTTGTATATATGTGTATATTGGTTCTCTGTACTAACTTCCTGGCCATCTACTGAAGCTTAAGAGATGTCTTCTGAGGAATTTGTTGGCGATACCAACTCTATTTCACACACTGGAAAGATATAGGAAGGGAAAGTTGGTTAGAGTAAATAAAAAGGTTCTGAGAACTATTTTCTTCTGAAGGAAGTATGGAAAAATGGAGACCAATCTTAGTTGTGGGGCTCCTAGCATAATGTCAGTTGCTTTGAACTCCTTAACTGTACATAGAGGATGACCCATTTTCCTAAGCTTCCCAGGGAATTGTCCTCATTCTCTCTCTGTCTTGCTCATTCTCTCTTTCTTTCCTATAGCAGACTGACAATCTTTTCCCAGTTTTGGAAATGTCTGCTAGCTCAGGTTTAATTATATTTGGCAGGCACAGAGACCAAATAAAGTATTTGAGTTTCCAATGAAGATTAGAGCTGAGAGTCCTATGTCTGTTTTCTTCCTCTCCCTACAAGTCCCAGTTACTTGAATTGCTGGAGGGAAAACTAACATTTCTATTAGGTTCTCAGGAAAGTCACAACTTATTTTTCTATGCAAAAATGTGTCATGACTTTCCCAGTGATCCACTGATATTGTCTTTGTGATCTTGGGCAAGCGACATCTCTTTGAGCTTCACTTTCCTATCTGTAAAGTGGAGATAATTGGACTTAACAGAGTTGGTTAAAGGATTTAATATGTGTAAAGCTCTCAGCACAGTGTCTTGATAACTTTTGTTATTAATAGTATTTTACACAATTTTTAAAAAGCAACCAGTAGTTGGGTGACTTGGCCTTTGGATTGCTATGTCTTGGGTCTTCACAGGTGTCATTGTGGCTGTGTGACAGAAATATAGCTCCTGGCAGTAGCAGTCAGCAGATAGGAGAAAGTTACAACCAAAACACTGTTCTTCATAATGGAAAATTTTCAGAGAGCAGAAGTTCCATTCAGAATCCTAGAAGATCCATTTAGAACCCATTCAGGGTAGACCTTAGTTCCAGCACCATCATAAAGCAAATTGAGTGAGCAACCTCCCAGTAGAAATTCACCAAAGTGTGACCAGTCATTCCCCCTTGTCTGTCTTGGGTCACTTGTTAGTGTTGCCACCCTTGTGGCCCTAAAGCTTTTCTATGCCCCTTGAATGTTTTCTATTACTTTTTGCCACCACTGTGGGGAGTGAATCAGGTGGTCAGCATTCTTGTTCTTGCTACCATGTGAAGAAGCTGAGGCCCAGGAAGGTTATCGAGTTGCCGGCAATCACACTGAGAGGTACTGTCAAAGCTAGTGCAGATTTGCCTCCAGATGAAATTGTGTTTATTGCTGTGATTTCTCTTCCCTTGAATGAGAGATATGTAGTCATTGCTGAACTGCAGTCTGATTCATGCCTTCTCCCGATTTGCTAGGCTTCATTTGGGTACCACTTTATCCACGTGGTTCTGTTGGGTTTTAATTGATGACTGTTAGGACCAGCCCTGTTGGGAAGCAGATTCCCTCTGGGTCGTTGTTTTTAGCCTTTCCTCCTTTGGGGACATTCCTTGGGGAGCCTCAGGTTACAAGGGATTGCTTTGATATGTTCAAAATTGTGCCTTGTGCCCCACAGCTACAGGTAAAATCAAAGGGCGGATAATTTATGGGAGTGTCAGAGCTGGCCGCTGGCACCTCAGGAGGCCATTAGTATGCCTGTTCAGACCCTCTGTGTCCTTGCAATTGATTCTTCTTTGCATGAGCCTGATTTGGGAAGCTGTAGATCTGTGGGTAGTGATTGGATGTGACAGTCCAAACACCGGTCCCTAAATTAATCCTTTTAATAGTATTCTGGCACCAAGGCAATTCTCTTTCTCTCTAGCTGGGGAGGACTGAATGGGGTGGGCTAGGAGGAAGAAGAGAAAGAGAAAGAAAGAAAAGCAGCTTTGTTAGGTGTTTAGGCCCTGCTCTGTTTTAGCATGTTCTAATTCCAGGACAGTTGGCATTGTGACTTTGGACATATTAATTCATTCAGCAAATGAAATTCATACTCACTTGGTGCCTGGTCTTGTGCTGGGTGAGGAGAACACAGAAATGAGAAGACTGTGGTCCTTGTCCTGAAGGATCTAGCGCAGTGTTTCTCAGACTTTTAAAACTCATGGTATCTTTTGGATTAAAAAAGGAAATCTCTTGCTCTTTTTTAAGGCTGTTTGAAATTTTAAAATGCATTAAAGGGTCTGACAAAACTAGTCAAAGAACTGTCATATCAAATATGCTTTTTTACACGCACACCCATCTGTACCTATTCTACTGTCTTCCATCCTTCTCTCCTAACTCCTTAAAAATTGCTGGTAGTAGGAGAAATAGATACCTAACCTCTTACAATATAGTCAGATAAAAGTTGTGAAGTAGGAATAAACTGTGCTACTGGATCACACTCAGCAATTTCATGATGAGGTATCAAAGAAAGCTACCAAAAGGGCAAATTTGAGCTGGATTGTGAAGGAGTGATAATTTGCCTGATGAAAAAATGGAAGTGCATTCTAATACAGAGGGAGTAGTATTTGCCAAGGCACAGATTTATGAAAGGAAACATCATTTTTAAGGACCTGAGCAAGAGCTGATTGTAACCCTACCTCCTGCCAGTTTTTCCACTCTGTAAAATGAGAAGGTTTGTTTCTCTGGAATTGTTTGAGGAGAAGCTTTGAGTTCTTTTGCTTTGGTTGCACGCCCTCCTGTTTCTCCTTTTGTGCTCAGGGCTATACTTTATTATTTTTTTTGACATTATTAAACAAAGTTATTATGAAAAAGAATCTGAGGGAACCAGCAGTTAGCGTAATGGCTATGTCGCTGGACTCCCACGTAGTCGACCGCGGTTCGTGTCCCGGACCCGGTGACTTAAAACTCATGCCGCGCTCGTGTGCGTGCGTGCCCAAGATCCCGAGAGGAGAATGGAGGAGAAGGGATTGCGGCGTGACCATCCCCCCTGGGGGGGGATTTCTCGCTTTCTGTCTCTATGTCTCTCTCTGTCTGTCTGGCGAGCGCACGCGCCCTACAGTGAAAATCTCTCCAAAAAAAAAAAAAAGAATCTGAATAATTTGGATAGATTTCATTATTACCTAAGGTTGCATTATTTTTGGTTAAAGTCACACTGTACCTCAAAAAAAAAGAAAAAAAAGAAAACACCTGAAGTTGATATGCACTGTCTGCCTATGGCTGATGGGGAATCAGCCTAGTGAGAAAATGTGGGCTAACACAGGAAAATAGGGCCCCAAAGAGCTGAGCACCTCCGAGTCTTGGCTTGCTCATGAGTAAAGTGGGAATACTGTTAGCTCTTTTGCTTGAGAGTTGGGAGAATTCAATAAGGTAAAATATGTAAATCATCAATACAGTACCTGACTTATAGTAAATTTTCAGAAAACTGTTTCCCTTTCTTCTTTCTCATGTATCAAAAGTAATTCCCTGGGCCAGCAGGTGGCATGGAGGTTAAGATGCTGGATCCCACATGTCCAACATTACGGTTCAAGTCCCAGACCTAGCAACTTGAAAATCATGCCTGGCCCCATGCGTGTGTATGCCCCAAATCCTGAGAGGAGTCTTTTCGGAAAAGAGATCTTGTATGGATGAATTGAACCCCAGAGATATAGGTATTATTATAAAGAATATGTAATGAATTTACATACATTTGAACCAGTGAGTTATTTAACAACTAGCTTATATGACTCTTGGCTTCTACACCATTTTTCCCTGGAAGTAGAAGTATAGGAGGTATAAACTATTCTGAGAACCTCTCCTCTGGAGTCAGATGCTGTTTACACATATGGGATATGCTTAAAGGGATGACAGTGCCATTTTCTGCCCTCCCTCTATCTCTAGCCTACTTATGGTGTATTAGGAAACAAGGCCTTGCTCCCACTCATGTGCGATGGGGTCACATCATGTGCGATGTTGTCTAGGATTGTTCCTTGGCATTTGTCCAGGCTACTGGG